AATACTTGCATTTATTATTCATTACTTCTGTATTTCTAAAAATTTTTAATTTATCATATGTTCCTTAATCGAAATATACAAATGGTATGTTTCTAAGGATTATTGAAATTGTGATTTCATAACTTATTATTCATATTTGCCATCGTCAATGCTTATTTACTTTTAGTTTAATAGTGAGTTAAAAGCTATTAATAAATTTACTTGAATATTCTATTTAGGATTTACTAGATTTTTTTTCAAATATTGAATAAGATGGGTGGCGCAAAGCACCACCTATCACACTAGTTTAGATACAATTGAATACGTACTGATAAAGTCAAATCTTCACTCATGCCTGCCCTTACAAAATTGCAAGTTTCGTGAAGCAACACATTAAATCGTTACATAATTATACGCTTCATTAAATTTTCAATATCACTTGTTACTGGTAATCCTGATCATCCGTTACATATATTCATGTGTATAAATTGCACTAGCTCATTTTTAAATACAGTATAGTGCCAATGGAGATAACTCACTCTTGAATTCTAAAAATCACCAATATGTTCAATAGATTTCAAACTAGCAAAGAGAGGGATTTAGATGAGTTGTTAGAGGAAATTCTGAGGCTTAATCATGATAAGCCCGAAATTTGTGATTTAGTGAATAAAGGAATTTTTAGAACTCAAGTGAACAAAGTTATGGAAGCTTTTGAGAATGATTCAGAAGTTTTTCCGCAAGGAAATAAATCAAGTATTGGAACAAGAAAGATATACGGAGTTGGGCAAATTCTATAAAGGGAACAAAAATTACAAAGGATCCAAAGTTTTTGAAAGAGATGATAGCAGTTCTTAAGAGGACAAATATCCTTTATTGCAAAAATGACCCGAGAATAACACAGGTTTTAGCTATATTACTTTTTGAGTCATCAAATGAGCAAGGAAAATTGTTACAGATATTGACAGAAGAAGAAAAGTCGACTATATGTGCTATGCTCGCAAGTATTAAAGCATTGCAAGGTAATAATATGGATATAATAACAAGTTCTTCTATTTTAGCGACAAGAGATGCTGAAGAGAGAAAAAGTTTCTTTGAAATATTAGGGATCAGTTGTGGGTCTAATGAAAGTGATGGGGATAATTGCTGTTCGCAAAATATAAACATTTTTGCTAAAAATATATTTGAATTAGTTGAATATAATAAAACATGTTATTTAAAAAATATAGTTTACGGAGATGTAAGTCACTTTCAGTTTGATTGGTTGAGACATGTACATAAGAGAATGGGTACTAAGGGGAATAGAGGATTTGGGGTAGCAATTGTAGATGAAGTAGATAACATGATAATTGATGACAGTAGCAGAACTGCAAGTTTAACAGGTGGACTAGCAGGGTTTGAACATTTAAATCCAATATTTTGTGCAGTAGCAAATAAGTTAAATATAATAAGCAAACAGATAATAAAGAGAGACAAAAAAATATTATATATAGATAGTGAGTTTGTTGAGAAAGAAGGAAATCTCATCTTAGGAGACGGAACAAGTGTCTATGAAACAGATGATTGGCAAGAACTTGTTGAACTTTTAACTGAAGAGTTAACAGAATTTACAACACAACTAATAAGAGAAAAAATGATAAAACTGCCAGATTTTCTAAAAGATTTTTGTTTAAAGTCAGTAGATGAATTAGTAAAATCTGCGATAGAAAGCTGGAATATATATCAAAAGAGGATAGAATATTTAACAGTAAAAGATGAAAATGGAAATTCAACTATTGCACTAGTTGATTACGAAAGCACAGGGATAGTACAAAATCATGAGACATATTCTAATGGATTGCATCAATTTATGCAAATAAAGCATGGACTTAAGCTTACACCTGAAACGATAGCTACAAGCTTTATCTCAAATATGGTATATTTTAAAAAATATGGTACTAAGATTTATGGAATGACTGGAACAATTGGATCTAAGGCGGAACAAGATCTTCTATCCTCGATTTATAAAATAGATTTTGGATTTATTCCAACTTACAAGGCAAAACAATTTAAAGAGATAGAAGGGATAGTGGCTAGTAATGATCATAAATAGGAAATGTATGTTTTGAGTAACATAATTCAAGAAGTAGAGAGAGGAAGAGCGGTACTAGTTATTTGTGAGACAATAGAGAATGCAACGAAAATTTATGATAATTTGATAAAAGATTATCCAGCAAACAAAATAAGGCTATATTCTAGGAATGATAATGATGAATATTTAGCAGTAATAAAGAAAGTTAACTCAGGAGATGTAATAATTGCAACAAACTTAGCTGGAAGAGGGACAGATATCAAAACAAGTGCTAGTGTTGAAATTAATGGAGGATTGCATGTAATAGTTACTTTTTTACCACCAAACTTAAGAGTAGAACAACAAGCGTTTGGAAGAACTGCGAGACAAGGTGCAAAAGGGACTGCTCAATTGGTAATTAATAGAATACATGCTGAAAGAAAATTAAATATATCTGAAGCTTTAAATAATATATATGAATTTAAGCAGCTTAGAGATTGTAAAGAATATATAAAAATCCAGGAAACCAAATTATATGGGATGGAGGAGGTTGAATTAAGAGATATACTATTTGATATATATTTAAAAAGCGATAACAACCTAAGAGAGATAGAAAAAAAGAAGATAGAAGAAAAATTCAATATGACGATATCAGAAATATTCATAAATATGATGATATCAGAAATATTCATATCAGAAATATTCAAAGAAAAAGATATATCTGAACTTAAATTGCTACAAGTAGAAGAAAGATGGGGAATGGTGCTAAAATTATTCGAAAAGACATTAGCTTATAATATTGAGGCAAGAGAAAAACTAAAAAAATTAACAAGAAACTTTGGATTTAAACTATATTATACTAATAAAAAATGCTTAGTTTGTACGAGGCAATTAGTATTAGCTTAAAGCGTAGAGCAAGTAGTGAACACCTGTTATGACTTGCAGTAGGACATTTTTTAGATACTTTTACTAGTAATAAGCAATATCAATATATTGAATATAATGATATTAATTTTTATGAAAAAACTGCAAAGAGCTTTAATGATCAAGAGGCATTAAAAAGTTTAGCTTCAGTATTGAGGAGAAATATAATAGTAATAAGCAGCAATCAAGCAAATCCAGAGATCTACAAAATTAAAGATGCGGAAGAAACAATTTATATAGGTTTAGAAGAAGCAAATAAAAAGCATTTTAAATACTATAGATCTTTAAAAGTTTTAGACAATAATCTAGTTATAGAAAAAAATTATCTATCGAAAGCGAAGGAAATAAAAGCTACAGAATATAAAAGTGATATAAATCTTTTTGAAAGAAAAGAGATAAAAAAATTGCTAGAAGCAATTATAAAACAAGAATCAAAAGAAATAACAGCATGCAATTTAGTAAGAAGAGAAGACGGAATTAATTATTTTACAAGTTTTTTTAATAAAATAAAAGAAGAATATGAAGAAGGCAATAAAGTAATGAAAAATCCTGCCTATATGGTTAGGATAGGAATTAAAAAGCCAGAAAGTAAAGAAAAAATCGAGATATTAGAATGTGCATGTAATTTAGACAAATCATTTTCATTACCAGCACACTATAATTTAGCTTATGCAGTAATTGAATATCAGAAAGAAGATTATCAACAAAAAGTAGTTACTAACTTATCAATAGCAAAAGATCGAATAGATGAAGTATTAATACCTCATTTACAGTATATGCAAGTATTACTTCCACTTGGCCAAAGCTGTGAATTATCAAAGCAAAAAATTAACAAAATAGAAATGTTAAAGACAATTAAGAGTAATATAGAAGAAATAATTAAAAAATGCAAAAATGATAGTAAAAAAAATATTAAAATAAAAAAAGTTCCATTAGAAAAATATTTTAATAATAAAGATTTAACGATTGAAATAAAAGAATTTGAAAACGAAGGGTTACAATATCTTTTTGATATAAATATTGAGATAGATTGGTTTGGAGTAATATTTTTATGTGTAGCCGGAACAGTACAAATAGTAATAGGAATATATTGTGCAATACGTGGCCATACAGAATTAGGGAAGTCTTTTATTGCAGAAGGTTATGAAGATTTAATAAGTTCAATACTTCTATTAAAGGATAAGAAAAAATTTAACATGAGCAATTACATTCAACGAAAAACAATTTGTTTACTAATAGAATCATTTGCATATGGATTAGAAAACTTATCAAAAAAAATACATAATTCTATGAAAAAAGTAAAAAAAAATAGCTGATTCTTCATCTAATTCACCTGATTCACCACGTTCACCAGCTCTATCAGCACTTAAAGATGCAGGACAAAAGATGGCAATAAGAAAAACTTTAGATTACTTATTAGATAAAAGCGCAGATGAGATTATAAATCGATTTAAAGAAGATGTAAGAGAGAATATATTTAAAGAATTAAATCTAAGTCTTGATGATCCAGCTATAATAAGATATTTAAATAAATTAGCAGCTGCAGATGAATTATATGAGGAAGAATTAAATAAAATAACAACAAGTACATTAGAAATTTTAGAAGATAAGAAAAACATATTTGTAGAGTTTATTGAAAAAGGATTAGAAACAATATTAAAAAGTAATTTGCCAATATTAAAAGAAGCTAGGGAAAACATAGGTTATAAATTAACGAAACATGGCACAAATTTAGTAACAACAGTAACAACATTACATCAAATAAATAAAATATCAAGAGAAACAGCAAAAGAAATATCGGAAGTATTTAAAAATAAGTTAAAAGAGTTATGTGAACAAAAAGTAAGTTTTGAAATAATTTTGGAAGGAAAGTTAAAGCCAAAAATAAATTTAAAAGATGCAAAAGCTATAGTAAAACTATTAAAAGAAACTACGGTAATAAAGGATGAAGAATTTGATAAGGAGAAGGCACAGAAAGTAGATTTTAACAAATATAATAATATTAAATCAGAAGTAATATATATATTAAATGAATATAATATGATGAAAAAAATGGAGTTGGGTAATGAGAAAAAAGAAAATATAATAAAAATGTATAAAGAACATATAACAGATCGTGTTATATCTAGGATAAAAAAAAATGCATTAGGATGTTTAACAGATGAAATATCAGAAACAATAACAGAACATATAAACGAAAACATAAATAAAACATGGAAGAATTTTGAAAAAGAACGAACCCGTAAACTGGAAAATAGACAAAATGTAATCTCAAAGGAAGAAATAAGAGATCCTCAAAAAAAAATAGCTGAACCATCCAAATTAGACATAACCAGAATAATAAAAAATAATTTTAAATAATAGTTATCTTAATAAATATATATACGAAAGACAAAACAATAGAAGAATAAAGATTTGGTGAGATTAAACTGGTATCAAATAAACATTCTCTAAGACAAAAAATAAGAAGAAAACGAAGATATAGCAATAAGAACTCTAATAACTATCAAATATGGGAATTATTTCTATGCACTGTCATTTCAAGAAAATGAATAACGATAACCTGAAGTCAACGAAATACATGATCAAACCGTTATGCGAATTAACGTTAACGGACCGTATTGGTTGCTAAATTTCTATTAGAATTGATCGTTACATAACCTTACTCTTTTTTTTTTTCTTTTTATATGATTTAATATTTTCTCTATTTTCTCTAGTATTTATATCTCAAATAGTTATAGAATTAGTATTAGCAAGTGAATTAGAAGTTAGTCGCGAAGATTTACAACTTCGATATGTATGAATCGATGTGCATGGCACTTGTTAACAAACTAATAAAGAGTAATAGTATCTTCAGATACGAATAACTCATTTTTTATACATCTATTTGAATATTCATATATTTGGCTGTTTGCCTCTTTCGCAATTGCAAATCACACTAAACCCTCTTTAACGCTAATATTGATTTGCTGGAATGACCTACATATTTATTCAAGATGACAAAGTCATTTATTATTATTGTCTTTAGCTACTCGTATTTATGGAAGTACTTCGGGTGTAACGCCACCATCGTACGTTTAGTAAAGTACAATATAATGTTTCTCATTGTCATAATCAGAACCATGTGTGGTATAATTAATGTGAGCATTAAAGTTAGAATACTAAAAAAAATAATGAAGACGGTGCTTTAGTAAAACAAACCAAAAAAATTAGTCATTAGAACTAAAGTAGCTAAAAGTAGAGTAATCGAATAAAAATTAGAAAATCTTTGAAAAAAAAAGGATCATTAAACAAAATGCCAATAATTGCATGAGCGTTAAGTAAAAATCAAATAATAAAATACCCAATAAATTGCATGAGCATTAAGTATACATAAAGAATATATACTTACATAGCTACTCTTATTATGTAGCTGCTTGACATAGTTGTGTTAAAACCACGAAATGTAATATAATTTGTCGAAAATAACTAGATCAATGCCTGTCATGCGCAGTGAGTTTGGCATATGAGAACTATTCAAAGGTCGAATTTAAATATACATTTAATATAGATAAATATCTAAAGCAAATATGCGAAAAAATTGCAACGTTATTTGTTCTGAAACTTGGATAGATGTTAACATAGTTTTGAATAAAAGTTGAGAGCCTCCGCTATTCTTCGGACAAATTATTGCATTGAGAATTTTATACATCTAGGGACAGTATTTTATAATGCTATGTCTGTCACGCCATATAACTACTAAAATTTGTATTATAAACAATTGTTGCTTAGGTGCTAACACAAGTTGACTGCTTGGAATAATATTAGTTTAATGTCTACCCGGGTAACTCGTTAAAGCATTTGTTATCCAGATAGAACTTTACAGATAGATTAACTGGACAATTATTCGGATCTATTCAAATATTAAGCGATATTTTATTATAATGTAGTATCTCACAATGATCTATAAAACCGAATTTATTAGAATTAAGTCAAGAGAGACAGAAAAGCGTTTTGTAAAGAGCATTCGCTGATACTTCACCTTTGATGTTAAGTTTATTGTGATTATGAATTAATGATGTTAGAGAGGCATTTAATAAAGTGTCTCTGAAAGTTCTAAGATCAAATTAAGATATAAATTGTATAATTTTGCTGATTCGTTCATTTTGCAAATACTATCAAGAGACAATTTATATACCGCACATGCGCTGTTGCCGCATCCCTGAGATCATAAAATCAGGTGTAACGTAAAATCAAAACAACCAGTTTTTTCGTTAGTTAAGGTTAGGGTGAGGTTAGGGTGGTTTATAGGCTTAAAGAGAGATTTTATAGTAAAATTTCGAGAGAAAATTTTTTTGTTAGAACACGAAGAGTAGTTTCATATATGAAATTTTGTGTTATAAACGATTTTTGACAAAGCGAACGTTTGTTTTGAATTTTTCTGATTGTGCTACGTTACACCTGATCTTAAAATTTGATTAGTCGATCATGTGAGAGGTGGTAAATTAGTGACATCGCTGGGTGCGGTGAATAAATGTACTCTACTATCAAATACCGTAAAATGCTGACTCTTGTATCCGGGTATATACATTGCTAGTATTGTACCCGGGGTACCGAAGCAGGGGGGA